TATGTGGTTGCCTCTTGCATGTCCCCTACTGGGGACCTGGCCCGCAACTGAGGCATGTGCCCTGACTGGGAATTGAACCAGCGACCCTTTGGTTCACAGGCTGGCGCTGAATCTACTGGGCCACACTAGGTAGGCCAAGATGTATATGTTTTCTTCCCCTCTGCTTTTACCCCCTAACGTCCCACCACTTGCTCCAAGCCAGTTGTTTGCCATTTTCACTTTATAATACATTATGAATCTTTCCTTAGCACTATAAACAACTATTCCTTTTAAAAGCTGCATGGTATATCACTGTATAGTAGACCATAATTTATTTCACTAGTCTTCCTCTGATGAACACTTGCATATAATTTTTTGTTAATAAAAAGAATATCACAATGAATATTCTTAAAGATGCATTGTTTTTCACATATGTATATATCAATAAGATAAATTTCTAGTTACATTGTTAAGTAATATATACATATGTCAAAGTTTATTGTGGTAAAAAACATAAAGTTTACTATCATTACTATCTTTACACATACAACTCAGTAATGTTTAGTATATTGACATTGTTGTCAATATAAATGTCATTTTGATAAATATTGTCAAATTGCCCTCTGTGGTGACTGCATCTATACATACTTTTACCAGCATTGTATGAGAGAAGGCCCTTCATGTAGAAGCAAAGTGCTGTGATTAAGTGGGAGAAGGTGTAGCAGAGAAAAAAGGGCACAGGTTCTGGAATTTAATCTCGGATCTGATGCCAACCAGCTATGTGCTCTTGGGCATTAATTCCTTTGGGTTTTGTTTCCTCTATCTAAAATTAATCTCATAGAGGGGTAAGGATTCAAAGGCCTACAGTGAGGGCCAGGAATATGGTAGGCACTTTATGAATGATAGCCATTAGCTATTTTTGTGATCTAAGTCCTTTATCAATAAGTCTACAAGTTATTTCACATCACGAGAGCTAATTTTCTCATGTGTAAAATGAGGGGATTTAAAAAAAATAGGGGACTGGTTACCCAATTGTCATCACTAATTCACTGCAATACTAGCCGTTAGAGTGATCACAGTGAAAGGATAAAGCCAGCACCTTTAGCTACTTTGGCACCATTTGCTGAGCAGGCCTGAGACCTTGTGAAACATGACTACCATTTTACTCTTCTGGGCTTTTGTCCTCAGGACTAGAAATTACTGAAAAGCAAGAACAGAACATGACTAATGGCTCCCCACAGCCGCAGGTAAAAGATAACATTGGAGCAAACTGCAGCTTATTTAAAACCACTCAAATCCTCTTGAGTTGCAACAGCCCCCAACAGTCCAGTGGCCACACAACAGCACCCTCCACCCTTTTATAATCCAATTATAATACAATGAAAGCTCAAAGCCTCCAACTCTTCAAGGCTGGTGTATCTCTCCATATCTTGCCGCTCTCCTTTCTTGGAGAGTGAATAAAAACTTTATTCTCTACATTTTCTTTTCTTTGTGAATTCTTTTACCACCTGCATCACCGACCACCCTAACACAAAGTATTTAGTGAGGCAGTGGGGAGTAGTGGTTAAGTGTATAGATTCCAAAGCCAGATTGCCTGGATTGATTCCTGGTGTTGCTTGCTGCTTACCAGCTGTGTAACCCTGGGCTGGATCCTTGACCTCTCTTCTTACCCATTTAGGCTGCTATAACACAGCACTATGGACTGTGTGGCTAATAAACAACAGAAATTTATTTCTCACAGTTCTGGAAGTCTGAGATCATGGTGCCAGTATGGTTGGGTTCTGGCGAAAGCCCTCTTCCAGGTTTTAGACTCCTGACTCATATCCTCATATAATGGGAAGAGATTTGGCTAGCTCTCTGGCCTCTTCTTCAAAGGTACTAATCTTATTCACGAGGGCTGCACCCTAATGACCTAACTCCTCCCAAAGGCCCCACCTCCAAATGCTATCACAATGGGATTAGGGTATTAACATATGAATTTGGGGAAGACACAAACATTCAGTTCATAGCAACATCTCTGTGTTTCAGTTTACCCATTTGTAAAATGGGGATAATAATAGTAATACCTATTTCAGACACTAACTGTGAGGACAAAATGATGTCATAAATATAAAACTTTTAGAACAATACTTGGCACTTAGAAAACTCTCAAAGAAATGCCAGCTTTATTGTTATTAACAGACACAGACACCTAAAGCTAAGGTACTTAGAGGTCCTGCAGAGCCTTGCCTGTCTAGTGATCTTTTCTGAAACCCAGCTATTGAGAAGCTGAGGAATTCTATGGTACCTACCCAGAAAAATGCACTATTTTGCATGATAACACATACAATTGCAGAGGCCCCTGGTCCTCCATCTGAGAATTCCCAATCTGGTTTAACTCCCTCAATTCATGAATTACAAGGGCCCCTGGATAAGCAGGATGGCTTACAAGTAAGGAACTTTAGTTGTGGAAGCTGAAGTTGGATTACTTTTGGTGGAGAAGAGAATAGCTGGAGAGGAAAAGGGGATAGTAGGTGGAGAACACTTTTGGGGTAGGTTTGATAGGGGATTTAAGAGTTGGAAACTTTTAGTTTAAGTAATAGCTAATAAGCTTAGTAATCAATGCATGTAAAAGCTTATGTTCTAGGAACTGAAGGTATGACCCACCCTGACTCCAGACCAGAAGCAGTTCCACCTTTGTTCCTCAGAAGGAATGCAAGCAATTCAAGATACTATCTGAGCCATTGTACTCCAGGGTGAGATGACCGCTGTTCAGGACACAGCCAAAGACCACTGCCTGGGACACAGCTTAAGACCACTGCCCAGGGCAAGAATGTTGAAGTTGGGTTTTTTTTTTAATCCAATGAACTTTTCCCTGAATTTCAAAACCCTTCACTACACCTTGTTTATTCCCTGCTATAAACACCTTGGCCTGGAAAGAAAAGACATGATGGTCTGTTAGTGTATGAACCCACCATCTTCTCAAATCACCAGCTATCTGAATAAAGTGCCTATAAAGATTCAATTGCTGTCTCTGCTTATTGGGTTTGGTAGTGACAGACAGCCTGAACTCAGGTGTCTTTTCCGGTTTCAGGTTGGCTACAAAGGGGATAGAGAGAGAACCTACTTTATCTAGAAGAATGTCATGGTTTTAAAATATATACTGGATTCTTTGACAATTCTCCTATTCCCTTACATCTTAACTATTAGAACATGGTAGAAGTGATATTGTACTAGTTTCTGGACTCAGAACTTAAGAACTGGTACAAAAAAAAAAAAAAAGAAACTAGTACCTTCTACTTTCTGTCTTAGACACTCACTCTTGAGCCAAGACACAGTGTTGGGCAGAAGGCCAAGCAGTCTGTGGAGAGGTCTACATGGGGAAGAATTGAGCCAGCCCAGCCCCAGCTGACAGCCAGAATTAACTTGCCAACCTGAAGTAGACCTTCAGTCCCCTAGTTGAGCTGGCCTGTGGTACCATATAGAGCAGAAATGACATTCCCTGATCTGTCTAAATTGCAGAGTTGTGAACAAAGTAAGTAATTGTTGTTGAGTCTTGGAATTTGGGGGTAGTTTGTTACACAGCAGTAAGTAACAGAGGGAAGTTAGTCAAGGGAGAGGATTTGTTTATACATTTGCTTGCTTGTCTTTATAATGGAAGAGGCTTGAGAATTTATAGATTGAAAGGAACTGCTGTACTCAGAGGACTTTGCCCTAAGGCTTCTGTTTTCTAAGTGAGGTAGGAGGTCCTTCCCTTCCCTTTGGGTGATAGGGTTGGGAGCATGAACAACTAGTGGAAGGTTAGAATAGATGTCATGGGGACTGGAAGAAGTTGCTGACTAGGTGTGTGGAAAGGCTGTCAGCTATCATGAAGGTGGGGAACAGGAACATATAGTAAACAAGTCGTCAGGGGATGGGGTCCTGGGGAAACTGGTTTTTGAGCTGGACCTTAAAGGATGGGTGGGATTTTGACAGCAAAAGGGGCAGTGTGGGAAGAAGAGGTTGAGTAAAGAAAAAGAGGAATGGAAATGAATGACCTATTTGGGAGTTACCCTTTTAATGGTTATTTATTGAACCTCTATTATGTGTCAGGCATAGCACTAGTATCCAGGTGTTTGGGAATGAAGATACATTTGTGACTAAGAGCCCATGTAAAGTTCCCAATCTAAGGCAGATACAAAGAACAAGTTGAAAGAGTAACAAATACAATGACTAAGAATTGTAAAAATGGTAACGGAAGACTTGACTTGGGGTGGTCAACACACAATGTAATATACAGATGATACATTATGGAGTTGTACACCTGAAACCCATGTAATTTTATAACCCAATGTCACCCCAATAAATTCAATAAAAAGGAGAAAAAAGAATTGTGATACCTGTGGTGAAGGAAACAAAGGGTTGTGATACAGAATCAGGAGGGGAAAATCTCCTTTAGATAAGGTGTCAGGGTGCTTCCCAAATAAGTGATGTTTAAACTGAGCTGTGGGTGCCGAGGAGTGCCTGGGGAAGGAGCTGGGGTGGTCCCAGGCAGGGGAAGGCATGTGCAAAGTTCTGAAGCAAGAGCTGGCAGGGAAAATTGAAGAGGCAGCAAGGGGCCAGGTGTTCCTGCTGCTGACTTTGCAGATCTGCTTAGGAATTGATTTTATTCCCAGTGCAATGAGAAGCTACTGAAGATTTAAAACAGAGGGATCAGACCATCTAATTGCATTTTAAGAAGATTCCTGCCTCTAAAGATGCTTAGAGGGATGGTAGTGGAAACATATTTTTAAAAGAACAAGTTTTCATTCATTTTACTTAAAAAAAAAACAAACTAGAGAGTTTTGTTGTTATTTTATAGTATCCATTTGAATAAAACTTTGAAACACTCCTGAGAGAATCAAAAACTTCACAAACAAAGAGGTGTGCGATGTTCTTGGAAAAAGACTCAACATCATAAATATATTAGTTCTCACTAAATTAATCTAAATATACCACAAGGGAGGAGGTAGAGAAATGGGAGGAAAAAGGGAAGAAGAATTAAGAAGTACAAACTTACCTTGGTTTGTGGCTCAGTTGGTTGGAGTGTTGTCTGTAAACCGAAGGGTCCCAGGTTCAATTCCCAATCTGGGCACATACCTAGGTTGTGGGTTTCGTTCCTGATCAGGGCTCATATGGGAGGCAACCAACCGATGTTTCTCTCTCACATCAATGTTTCTCTCTCTCTCTCTCCATTCCTCTTTCTCTAAATTAATAAACATTTTTTTTAAAAAGAAGTACAAACTGACAGTTATAGGTCACAGGGATGTAACATGCAACGTAGGGAATAGTATCATCATAACTAAGTGAGGTGACAAATGGTTACTAGATTTTTTTGAGATAATCACTTTGTAAGGTATATAGATGTTGAATCACTATGTTGTACACCTGAAAGTAATATAATATTGTATGTCAACTATAACTTAAAATAAATTAAAAGTAAATAAATTAAATACCACAATCTCAATAAAGATATCAAGAGGATTATTTTTCTGGGAACATGTCAAGCTGAATCTAAAGTTCATATGGAAAAATAAGGAAGCAAGAATAGCTAGGAAAATTTTGAACAGAAAGAATGTTGAGGGGAGACTGTTTTACTAGATATTAAACCATAGTATTGGACTGCAGTAATTGAAACTATAGCACTGATGCCTGTAAAGACATACAGATCAAAGAATAAAAATAGAAAGTAGAGAAATAGGCTCAAATACATATAGACATTTGGTATATAATAAAGCAACATTTTTAAATTTTGAGAAATTTGGATTGTTCAATAATAATTTTAGGACCACTGAGTAGCTATCTAGAAAAAATAAACTTACCCTGTCTGGTGCGGCTCAGTGGACTGAGAAGCAGTGGGTGGAAGGGTCGCTGGTTTGGTTCCCAGTCAGGGCACATGTGGGGGTTGCAGGCCAGTCCCCAGTGGGGACCTGGGGTCATGTGAGAGGCAACTGATCAATGTTTCTCTCTCTCTCCCTACTTTCCTTTCTCTCTAAAAAGAAATAAATAAGAAATTTAAAAAATAGAAAAAAGTAAAATAGATTCCAACTTAACCTTTTAATATTAGAATAAGTTCTTGTTGGATCAAGATTTTTAAAAAAGATTTTATTTATTTTTTTAGAGGGGGAGGGAGAGAGAACTAGAGGGAGAGAAACATCAGTGTGTGGTTGCCTCTCATGCACCCCCAACCAGGACCTGGCCCACAACCCAGGCATGTGCCCTCATTGGGAATTGAACCTGTGACCTCTTGGTTTGCAGGCTGGCACTCAGTCCACTGAGCCACACCAGCCAGGGCTGGATCAAGATTTAAAAAAAAAAAATTTATTTAGAGAGAGGGGGAGAGAGGGAGAGAGGGAGAAAGAAAGGGAGAAAAACATCCACCTGTGAGAGATGTTGTCTCTTACACATCCCCAACCAGGGATCTGGCCCACAAACCAGACATGTGTACCCCGACTAGAATCGAACCAGTGACCTTTCAATTCACAGGCTGGCACTCAATCCACTGAGCCACACATGCCAGTACTGGATCCAGATTTAAATGTAAAAAATAAAACCATGGAAGTACCAGAGAAAAGTATGTGAGATATTGTTTTTATGAGCTCCTGGGGGAATGGTCTTTCTAATAAATACATAAAAACAGAATATCTTAAAAAGTTAATACACTTGGCAATATGAAAATAAAAATATGCAGCACAGAAAAATCATAAGCAGAGATAGTGACCAACAACCAACTGGAAAAAAGTGTGTAAGGTATGCATGAAGGCCAATTTTCATAAATCCATCATCAAAAAACCAACAACTTAGTGTGAAAATGGGCAAAAAATATAAAAACACAGCTCACGGAAAAGGAAATACAAATCATTCTTGCACAAATGAAAAGATGCTAACACATTCTTTTTTGAAATATTTTATTTACTTACTTTTAGAGAGAGGAAGGGAGAGAGAAAGGAGGGAGAGAAACATCAATGTGTGGTTGCCTCTCATGTGGCCCCCACTGGGGACCTGGCCTGCAACCCAGGCATGTGCCCTGACTGGGAATTGAACCAGCCACCCTTTGGTTCGCAGGCTGGCACTCAGTCCACTGAGTCACACCAGCCAGGGCTCATTCTTTTTTTTTTTTAATTTATTCTAATTTTAATAAAGATTTTATGTATTTATTTTTAGGGAAAGGGGAAGGGAGAGAGAAAGGGAGAGAGAGAAACATCAATGTGTGAGATACATCTTGCCTCTCGCATTCCCCTTACTGGGGACTGGGTCTGCAACCCAGGCATGTGCTCTGACCAGGAATCGAATTGGAGACCTTTTAGTTCACAAGCCAGCACTCAGTCTGCTGAGCCACACTAGCCAGGGTCCTAACTCATTCCTAAGAGAGATGAAAATTAAAAGTAAAATAAATTACCATATTTGATTTATAAGGTTGATAAGGATCAAAAAGTTTGATGAAAACCTTTATTGGCTAGAGGATGGGGAAACAAGGTCCCTAACATTGTTGGTAGAAATGAAAATTGGTAAAATTTCTATAGAGGGATATTTGACAATATCAATCAAAATTACAAACACAGATATCTGTTGGCCCATATTTCTCTTCTGGAAATTTAACCTAATGATACTAGCACATGTAGGAAATACTGCAAGTACTGCTATTACAGCATTATAGTAGTCCCCCCTTAGCTTTCTATACTTTCAGTTACTCGTATTCTACTGTGGTCTAAAAATATTAAATGGGCAGTTCCATTTATTAAATGGAAGTAAATAATTCATAAGTTTTAAATTGTGCACTGTTCTGAGTGGTGTGATGAAATCTCACAATGGCCTGCTCACTTGGCCCAGGGCTAAAATCATCCCTTTGTCCAGCACACCATGCTGTATACCCTACCTTCCTGTTAGTTACCTAGTGGCCATCTCGGTTACCATATTGACCTGTGGTATCATAGTGTTTCTGTTCAAGTAATCCTTCTTTTATTCAATAATGCCACATCCACATAACTTTTATTATAGCATATCGTTATAATTGTTCTATCTTATTAGTTATTGCTGTTAATCTCTTACTGTGCCTTATTTATAAAGTAAATTTTATCACAGGTATGTATGTATAGGAAAAAATAGTGTATTTAGGGTTTGGTACTATCCATGGTTTTAGACATTCATTGGGGACTTGGAACATACCCACAGGGTAAAGGTTAGAGCAAATAAGCTGTGGTTCAGTGTGCAACAGAGTGCTATTGAACTGTTATTAAAGAGTGAAGAGGCTGCCCATTACCTGGCATGTAATCAGTGACTGAGACAGGCGGCATGAAACTTATGGCAGCAATTTTAGAATTTTTTGTCAGGACCCATTTTGGGTCTCAGTTCAATTCTGTGCTTAGTACTACACCAGGCAATTAGAGGGACCAAAGAAATTCTGCAGGAATTGCCTTACCTGACACTTAGTAGGATCTTAATGCCAATATCTGTTAAGTAACAAATCTCTAGAAAGCTGGGAGAAATGTGAAAGTGGCTTCGGGAAAAAGCTCCTAAGGCTGGCTTAAATAGTAATTACTTCAATTGTCAAATCAGTTTTGATTGAACCCATTTCACAGGTTGGGATCCTTTTTATTTTGAATTGAATTAGCAAATTAACAAGGTGATCACATCTGGCCCTGTTGTCCCCAAAGCTCAATGTCTAATAGTTTCCTTAAGGCAAAAACTGGCAGTTCAGCTGCCCCCCCCTTTTTTTTTTTTTTTTAGCTAGATGCTATGTATGTCTTAGCATTATTTCTTTTGTTTTGAAGTCTTTTCGTTTGGGAAAATTGAGGCTCGGATGTTTTTGTTTACATATGTTTGCTGATTTGAGAGATAGAGAGAGAGAGGAAGGGAGATAGGAACACGAATGTGAGAGAGAAACATCTATTGGTTGCCTGTCATAAGCGCCCTGACCAGTGATCGAACTGCAACCTAAGTATGTGCCCTGACTGGGAATTGAACCAGCAACCTGTCAGTTCGCAGACCCATGCTCAATCCACTGAACTACACCAACCAAGGTACAAATGTACCATATTTTTAAAAATTCTTCTCCTGGGCTACTGTCTTTCATTTTAGGACTACCACTAGGGAGAGGAGCTAATAGTATTGGAATGCTCTGTAAATCCTGCAAGCCTGTTGCTTTCCATCTTTACCATCCCAGAGGTTTGTGGGTGGAGAGCTGAGATGTCAGCAGCTGCAGCAACGTCCCTGGCCATCAGCAGCAAGCTGCAGACGCTGTGGCTTGCCAGAGATTGAAAGGGACCTTTCTGGCCCACTTTCAGACTTAGGCAAAATTTGTCTTTCTTCTTTTATTTTCTTAAATAGTTTATTATAATTTCCTCCCAAATATCCAGTTCCCCAACTCTATTATATGTAATTAGGCAAAAATATTCTTATTTATTTTTAACTTATTTTTAAATAATTCCACACTTACATAAACATTGCAAGAATAGCATATAGAATTCCTTTTACCAAGATTCCCCAAATGTTAATATTTACCACATTTGCTTTATCATTTTCCTCTTTCTTCATATATACATAATTTTCCCCAGTTTGACACACATGATACACATAAGGTGGTGCCTCTTTACCCCTAAATACTTAAATGTATGTTTCCTAACAAACAAGGTGTTCTCTTACACAACATAGCACTATTATAAAAATCAGGAAAGTAACATTTATATAATATTATTCTAATCAAGAGTTTATTCAAATTTTATCAAGTATCTTAATATTGCCATTTATGGCAAAAGGACAAAAAATTTAGGGTAAAAGTATTTTTGATTGGTCAACTAAATTAGTGGTTTCCAAAATCTAGGATTTTATTTAAAAGTTAAAAATAGCCCTGACCAGTGTGGCTCAATTGGTTGGGTATCATCCTGCAAAACAAAAGGTCACCAGTTCAATTCCCAGTCAGGGTACATACCTGGGCTGCGGGGCCAGGTCCCTGGTTGGGGGTGTACATGAGGCAACTGATCGATGTTTCTCTATCACACATGGGTGTTTCTATCTCTCTGTTTCTCCCTCCCTTCTCCATTCTCTAAAAATAAATAAATAAAATCTTTAAACTTGTAAAATAAATAAAATAACACTTTTTTCTGTTTTGTTGTTGTTGTTATTGTATGCTGGTTATTTCCCACATTTGCTTTATCATTTTCTCTATATGTATCTCTCTATGTATTCATAGAGAGATACATATATACATGCATACATATATACATATATAATTACATATATTAATTATATGCACATAATTTTGCTCTCAGATCCATTCCTTACCCTCTCCTGCTCTGCTCTGTTTCATAGGAAACTACATTTATTCCCAGGCTGTTACCTGTCTTTCAGGAATATTTGGTCAATAGGATGCACTAGTAAAAGATTGTAGAGTAAGAGAAATAAACCAAGGAAGAAGGAAGGTGTTTCTTCCTCTCTATCTTTGACTCAGGTGGCTTCTGTTTCATGGTTCTGGCTCAGCAACCTTTTTCCTATGGCCTCATTATGGATGGCCCAGCTTCTGGACTCAGGCAATACCATCTTCGCTCATTGTTCCTCCAGCTCTAGGTATCATAGCTGCTTCCCACTCTGGCTTATCTATGGGTTTTCTTACTCTTTCCTGTTTGGCTTCTCAGCTCTTCCATCGCCTATGTACCCAATTCCTAGTATTAAATTCACACTGTTTGAAATGTTTAAAGTGGTTTCTGTTTTCTTGACTCAACCCTGATTGATAGATAACACAGGGTAAGATTTTATTTGAAAATGTCCTTGCTCAAATAACTTCAGAAACCCCTGCCATGGATGAGTGCCTCAACCCTTCATTTTACTTGTGTGTCTAATTATTTATTCATTTAGTCGCAGGCTAAATTCAGCTCTGACTAGATAGCATGCTAGTGTGTTGGGTGCTAAGGATTCAAAGGAAAACAGCATTAACAGTGACTAACATTTATTGAGTATTTACTACATATTTTTAAGTGTTTTAACATTATCTTCTTA